CAGGAGGTTCAAAGGGTAATTTAGGCATGGGAAAATGGTACTTTTATCAGATTTGGTAATTTTTGAAGGAGGGTAAGGATAGAATAGGGATTGTAATAAGTATAGAACCTTCTAGGATGGACTATAGTGTAGGTTTTAATAAACTTAGGGTAGTTACTTGTGTAACAAGTCAGAAAGTAAAGGGTAAACACTGAAATTAGAATAGGGACTAAGGGGTAAAAGGAAAATCTGAAATTGGACCCTAGGTTCACCTATAAATAGGCATTCATTTGCCTTGATGAGAGAGTTTTTTCTCAGCCATCAAAAATCCCCCGGATTCTCCACAAGGTTCAGATCAGAAATCTGAAATCCAACCCTTCCTTGGATCTTAGTTCTCTCAAAATTTCCAGAAAAACAATAGAAAAATCAAAAAAAATACTGTTTCATTAATTTCTCCTTTGCTCACCTTCAGATTCCAGTCCTTAATTCAATTGTCTAGCTCATTAAGGATCAGAAATAACCTGAACTCATCTGATTCTGCTCAATGTTGATATTCACAAGCTGTTCGAGTCATGTGTGCATGAGGTCTGCTTAGTTCGAGTGTTGTTTGTTTACTGGTGTGTCAGTCCTGGGTTCATCTCTGGTTATTTGGTGCCATTTGTGTTTGATCTGTGAACTCTGTGGGCTTTTCCAATTTATCCTGAACTGCTGAATCTGTGTTGGTCTGTTGCTGAGATTTTAAATTGGTTCTCTGAGTTGCTGCTGAAGCTGTTACTGCTGCTAATTTTCCTTTTCCTATTTCAATTCAAATCCCAGGTACACGTTTATGAACTCACCTTGATGTTAGCTGTGAAGTGAAGTGGAAATGGAAATACTGCCAAATCTAGGTTCATTTGAACGTTGTTTAGTTGGATAAATGTAATTGGTGTTAGTTAGTAGTTTTGAGTGTATGAATAATAGATACATTTGGACTGTTAATCTGGACTGTTATGGACTTTGAATTCTGTTACTTGTTAAGGCATTTTAGAACAGTAGCATAGCAGGATTAGTTTAAATACAACTTTGAAATCAAATAACGCAAGCATGAAATCAGTAGCTCAGTGTAATGCACATTCAATTCTAGATGCTGATACGCCTTTAAAATCAGTATGCATAGCCCATAAATCAGTCGTTTCATTTAAAGAGTGTAGAGGTAAAGTAAGTTTTCAATAGTTTTGGTTTAATTGAATCAGAATTCTTCTTTTTAATTTAAATCCAGGCCCTATAGCCTATCCCCAGGACGTTTGGGCTTAGGCCTGGACTGGCAGCTTGCAGGAGCCCAAATAACTGGCAGCTGGTTAGAAGAGCATGGGTACAATACTCCTTCGTTGGGCTTATCTCAGAGCCCGATCGGTGGCCTTGACACATAATTACCATTTAACTTACTTCAGTTCAATAACAAACTTTAGGATTTTTCTTGTGCTGCTGGAGACAAATAAAAAATATAGTTGCTTTAAGACTGCCTTTCCCTGAATAAAAATTACACGAGCCTCGCCAAAATATAAGTTGTGGGGTCTTCGATAATGCTTTATATAAAATTTAGATTTCGGGATACGCCGCTTAGCAAATTTCACGGCCTTCCCCAAATATAATAAACACGTAGCTGCTTTAGGTGCGTACTTTAATATTACTTCCCTAAATTCGGGTGCACACTTATGTGACCCAAATCCAAATCTCAACGAAGTCGAAATGTGTTAACGATCACGGGTGCACTGGTGCAACGTGGTTCGAGACGCATTTTCACGACGTTGCAATTCTCTAAAAATAATAATAATAAAAGCGTTTCAAAAGTCAAAAGGCACATAAATTAAAACATGTACTAAAATCAAACAAATGAGCCAAATATGACAGTTGAGCGACCGTGCTAGAACCACGGAACCCGGGAATGCCTAACACCTTCTCCCGGGTTAACAGAATTCCTTACTCGGATTTCTGGTTCGCTGACTGTAAAACAGAGTCAATCTTTCCTCGATTCGGGATTTAAAACCGGTGACTTGGGACACCATAACTATTCCAAGTGGCGACTCTGATCTTAAATAAATAATCCCGTTCCGATTGTCACTTCAAGTTGGAAATAACTCCCTTTACCATACCCTCTTCCGCGGGTGTAGTAAGTAAAAAGGAGGTGTGACATGTTCGTTTCATTGTTATTCATTTTCCAACTATTAGGTTTATGAATGGTTTAAGTGTTCGTTTATGAATTGTTTAAGTGTTTGTTTATGAGTTATAGATGTTGTCCAACCCCTTCATTGTCCAACATTTAGGAATTTGCAGGTTCATCACCATTAAAAATTGTCCAGATTTTGACAGAGACAATGCCTTAAACACATACAATTTGTGTACTTTTGTAACTGCTATGTTCATCAGCCCATATTATCAACTAATAATATAGCAGGTTCATCGCAACTGTTGCCCTCGAATACATACACAAAATACATAAATATTGAAATTACATTAACTAAGATTACAAGCTCTAATATAAACGGTTCAAAACAACATACATAACACCTTCTCTTCCAATTTCAAACGAGAATAAAGCTGGAAAAAAAACATATTCACTAAAAAAACATCACAACAATAGACATCAACAAAATTTACCAACATTCACTACATCATCGATGCCGTAACAAATTCAACAAAAGGTGCCCATGAAATCATAAGCATCATCCTCGTTTTCAAAACCTTCTCTTCCAATTTCATTACTTTTGCAGCTTCAACTTGGTGTAGAGCCTCCATGACAATTAATTCTTCTTTCAATTTATCCCTATCATTTTTAATCGCTTCCAAAGAGGATGTTAGATCTTTAGTTGTAACCAAATCACTGTTCCCAAAAATAGTTTTGAAGTTGGCTGAACGTTAATATTGGAAATCGTAATTTTTGTAGAACTCAGAGTTCTAGTGCAATCATACTATTAAAATTTAAAGGTATTACAATTTTATCCGATATAAACTTAGTTGTACTTTAGTTTTCAAAGGATACAAAAATCAGATCAATATTTTGGGGATATTTTGGTCGTTCAACATTTAGCGTTTTAACATTCGTGCTTTTATAATAACTAGCCTCTATGTACGTAGGTTGTACATATATCTTTCGCTAGTCAGTGAAAATTCTTGTGAAATAAAATTAATATATGTTATGTAAATTTTGTATATTGCACGTATTTGCGTACGTTGTGATGAATAGGCATACTTGCGAAAAGTTGGGTGATGTGGAATTTGAAAATTTCTAAGCTACAGTAATTAGTTTATTTACATGCCTATTTCACGTAAAAAAATCTTAAAGTATTTTGAATTCTATGATAAATTTCTAGAGTCTAATTCTTAGATAACTTTTCAGTACGCTTTTGTACATCAGTATAATTTAATTTTAGAATAGCATAATAGACGGTTAATATTTTGAGATTACTTTTGTGATTCTATATTTAGCATTCTAATAAAAGTTATTACATGGAACAACTCATCACAAAATACCAAAAGCCATATAATTCAACTATAATCCTCAAAGTTATTTTACATATTCCTATCATATAAGAGATCTTACTAACTTTCTTCCCGGGGGTCTCTTTAGCAGAAAAAGCTAAATTCAAACATTCCTAATCTTCATGTTTCTTTGTCCTAGCAAATATCTTAGACTACATGGGATATTAATTTTTTTTATGCTGACAAAAAAAAAAAAAAGCAAAAAATAAAAGAGAAAACAAGGTAAATTGTAATCATTAGTAAGAACAAATAAATATTAAAAAACACAACGAAATTATTTGCATGAAACACGTGTACTCTGCAAAGAAAATTGAAGAAGTGTTTAATTAGTTGTTCTATTTGGATAAACAAATCAGTATCCAAACACAATTTAGCATGAAACACAATCTTATTTGATAATTTTTTTGACTGCTTTTCTTAGTTAATATAGTTAACGTAAAGAGGTATCTTTACGAATGAATTGTCTTACATACACTCAAATTAAATTGGATGTAATTATGATCACGTATATATCAGAATTCCAGGGTTAAATTCCTATTTTAGTACAACTCGTCATCTTAGCGGGTGTATTTCAGTTTGTCCTTTCCTTGTGAAGATTAATGTAAATAATTAAGGAAATAAAAGTCGATCAATATTTTGAAGATATTTTAGTCCTTCAACATTTAGCTTTCAGCAATCGTGCTTTTATAATAATATAAAAATATAGATATAGATATAGAAGATACAGAATATAGATATAGATTTTACAAGTCAAACACATTATATAGTATATATAAGAGAGATAGAGAGACATTTTTCAAAATTTATATTCATGCATATTGGATATACCTTAAGGGGTCGTTTGGTAGGGAGTATAAGAATAGTGCAGATAAGGTGTATTAGTAATGCAGGGATTAGTAATGCATGGGTTAGTAATGCAAGCATTAGTTATGCAGATATTATTTCTTATCTATTGTTTGGTGTGGTGTATTAAAAATTATAATGCATTGCATAATTTTTAAGAAAAATAGTTGTTTACAAAAATGTCATCCATATTCTCTAGCTTTAAGGGACTTTAAGGACAATTTTGTCTTCAACCATACTAATGCATGCATTAATAGCCTTGGTATTACTAATGTCATGATTTTCTGTGCATTACTTATACATAGGATAATACCAAGTATGATGTATAATTAATACGCACAGGTTGAAAAAATGTACTAAACAAGGTATTAGTAATACAGAGAGTTAATGCTTACATTATTTTTTCTAATACCTCCTACCAAACAACCCCTAAGACTAGTACTAGTAGCGGTATATAGGCTTCTTCAAGAAAGACATTTGTAAACAATGGGCTTCTTTTTCATTTGGGCTGAGGCCCATTAACGTGACCCGCCAGCATACAACTTCAATTTGGGGAAATTCTTGTTTTGCGCTCTCTCTCTTCTACGGCTATTCTGCTAACATCTCCAGCCTCCCTCGATTCAACGGCACAGGCCACAATAAGGTCACTTCTCTTCTTTTCCTCTTTTAAATTCTTGTTCTTTTATTATTTGTGTTAGTTTATAAGCTCTCGTTTTTTTTTCTGGTTAGTTAAATTTATTTTGTGTTGCATTTTTTTGGTTTGTGTTACATTCGAATTCCGCAACCTATTGTTAAAGTAAACAACTTTAAATTGCTTAGAGAATATGCACAATCATCAACTCACATTTTTCAGTATAACTTTTGCTTGCTAATTGATGAGATTATTGGAGTTATTTACATCGTAATGTATTTAGCTAAAATTTGTCTCTACTTTTTGTTTTGTAATCAATTATTAGTGTCTCCACTTGGTAAGGTTGCTGTAATTCGTGCAAAACTTTTTTCTTCTGGTAGGCTATAGGAATTTGTAATTCATTCCATCTATGGAAACTGATAAGTGGGCAAGTTTTATGGAAGGAACTAGTGATTCTGAAGGTTATGGGGAGGATCTTGATGATGATGACATTTGCTGTGCATATGCATCCACCGATATACCCCAGTTGCAGTTCAGGTTTCATCTCGTGATATAGAAGCGTGTTGTCTTGTTCCGAATTTTATCTTTATTTATTAAAAATAAACTTGCTAAAAGCAATGTGACTGTGCATATTTTACATAGGAAAGATATTTCAAGATCACGGTGGCTTGACCAGTTTGGTATGGCTGAGGTTGTGGAGAGGAAGGGTGGATTGTGGACAACTACTGGGATAGTTCGTAATGGCAAGATATACTGCTTCATTGAAGAGATTTTGTAGGTGATGAAAATTCTATTTTTGTTATTTCCTTTTAGTTGAAGTAGGGGTGTCAAATGGGGCAGGGCAGGTTAGGGCGGGGCGGGGCAAGCCTTGACCTGCTAATATTTTGACCCGCCCTGCCCTGCCCTATTTAGCATTTTTTCAAATTTTGCCCTGCCCTGCCCCGCCCCGCCCCGCCCCGTTTAGGCTTTTTTGTATTTTTTTTTTCTAATTTGTAATATTATGTTTATGCTTTTTTCCCTATTATGGGAAGTGTCCTTATTAGTTCGTTTTTAAAAATATCAAATATTAAAATAAATTCAAAATAATTTGAAGCGGACTAATAAAATGTTCAAAAGTTATTATGTATTAAAAATTATAATATTCAGAAATGCAAATTGGCTTACACTTTCAAAATGCAAAATATACTACTATAATTGATGTATTGTGTCAAGCAATGTTTTAAAAGGCGGGGGCGTGAGGCGAGGCGTTTTACCTCTGACGAGGCGAGGCGTAAGCCCTGAGACATAAGGCGTAAGTCCCACGGATCTTTAAATTTTACTAATTTCAAGAATTTTAGGATAGCATAAAATGAAAATTAATTATAAAAATTACATTAAAATCACAAAATTATAACAAATAATATATTTAAAATATTAATAAATTATAATTCAACTATCAATAATATGAAAAGTATGACATATATCATAATGTGCAAATAGTTGCAATGTCGTTACAACTCAAGCATCAAAAGTAATGTATTCGATACAAAATCTTATATGTATCTCTTAAGGAGTAATGAATTTTGAAAGAATTTCGATACTATAATTTGATATTTTTATTAAAATACTCCTTTTATTTAATATGCTTTCTATTTGAAAGAGAATTTATATAAAAATACAATTCACAATTTAAATATGATTCTCAAGCATCATTCATTTTTAAGTTTCAACAAGTTAATAAAGTGACACACAATTCACCATACAATACCATGATAACTAATTATTTGTACATAGTTACTAGCTAATATTGAGATATTAAATTAATAAATATTGTATCTCGTAAACGCGAAAAGAAAAATAATTATAAAAAAATTATGGACTACTCCATTATATAGTAAAGACATAATAATAGTTAATAAATAAATACTTTTTAAATGAAAGATTTATTTAAAATTAACTATCATAGCAGTCTTAGTGGATAACGTGCAATAATTTTTATTTTAATTATGACAATACTCTCAACTTAATAATTTATACTTAGGAAAAAAGTAATTTTGAGTAGTCAACGATTTATTAAGAAAATTGAAGATTTACAAGGTTAATTACATACAATGACATAAAGTTCTATTAGGCGAGCCCAGTACGCTGGGCGTTGGGCGTGTCCGGGGCGTAAGCCCCGATGGTCGAGGCGTAAGTCTCACAGAACTAAGTCCCACACATAAGCCCAGGGGCGTTTTACGAGTGCTCCGCCCCGGGGCGAGCCCCGGGCGAGTCCCAATTCTGCCTTTTAAAACAGAGGTGTCAAGTAATTTGTGTTCATTTCACATTTAAGAGTTTTGGAAAGATACATGTTTCAAAAAAGTTATTTTTCTCTCTTTCTAATGGAAGATGCAAATAATAATGTTCCATAAAATGTTTATTCTCTTTCTTAAGTTTCAGAAAATTCATTTAATCCTTCTACTTGTAATTTCCACAATTAATCTATTTTAATTATGGATAATTTTATGTTTTTTAAAATTGTGGGACCAGACATCATATAACTCAACAGCTTGTCCAATCATAATGGTATTACCATAAGTATACTTAAGCACATTAAAGGTTATCATAAGTATACTGCACAGGGTACTGGTATTACCATTAAAGTAATAGATGAAACTGCTATCCTTACTTTCCCTACTGTCCAGTACCCTGCCCTATTAAAAATTTTTAAAAATAATAATTTGCCCTGCCCTGCCCCGCCCTGCCCCATTAAATTCTTTCCCTGCCCCGCCCCATTTAAGGTTATCCCTGCCCCGCCCTGCCCCAATTGCCATCCCTAAGTTGAAGAGTTAAAACTATTACTTTGAGTTGAGGCATAATTTTGAATAAGCTATGAGAAAAATAAGAACAGAGGACATCGACTTTGTTTTCAGAATATTTGGTCAGAGTTCAAATAATTGATCCTGTTTGGTTGAGAAGAGAAAAGGACGTATTTTTCTTTAATATCTTAACAAACCACGAAAGACTTATTATATCTCTTGTTTTTATGGGCTGCAAAAGTGAAAATTGAATAATTTGGTTAATAATTTGGGATACTTTTTCTGTTGATCTTTTCCTCATCAATGACTATGGCTGATTTTGGTATAAAATTTGGATACTCCTGAGTGATATTTTAATTACCTCTCTGAGTTATGCTTGTGTATTTTAATTGCACACTCGTTTATTGCTTCAACATGTTAGAAAGAGTAGTCTGGGTGGAGAAAGAGAGTAGAAGCAAATGGATAAAGTCTGTAAATAGAAAGATAACAGGTATTTAATGGTCAGTTTGTCATTTGACATATTTATTTGTATGAGGAACTGATATGAAAATTTATGTTTAATTTGAGATTTTCTCTTCTGCAATTGCCCGTGTTTAAAGAATGATACTATTTTTTTCATGTAGATATCTTGCTGAAATTGGGGCTCTGCATCTCTTCGGTAATGATGACACACCCCTTTCTCTGGAACACATATACAGCAAGGTTGCAGAAGGAAAAAGTGGATGTTCCTTGGAATACTTTGAAGCATATAAGCACTTGAAATCTCTTGGTTATATAGTCGGGCGTCATGGTATTCCTTGGTCAGTGAGAAGGTCAAAAGTAAATTGTGCTATTAACCAAGACTCGCTGGAGACTGCTCAAACTGGAGATGAAGAATCAAGAAACAATGTTCTCATCTCTGAAATGTTTAGTAACATGCAAATTGGTGGTCTGAGACTGGCTTTTGACGTTTACCCTCCTAATAGCAGATTCAGAAAGTCTGCTCCTGGTGATCCCTATTTTGTACTTTGCCTTGCTAGGTACGGTACTTTGTTAATGTGGTTCATTATATTATGGTGCTTAGTGCCTATTATAATTTTCTGAATCTTTGCCTCCTATTATTTAGCTGATTATAGGGACTTGTAGTTCAGCAATTCTATATTTCTTCTATGGGTGAGCATTGCTGAATGTTTAAGAGTATAGATAGATTTGCCAGCTTGGATGATATTCATACAAAAGTAGTACTAGGTTTTTATGTTTCCTATTTATTCCTTACTCCTGACCTATCTGATTCCCTGCACTATTTTGTATGACCTTGTTGATCCACATTAACTGTCGAAGTAGCTTATTTTATGTGTGATATATTTTTCTTGCAGTGAGTATCCACCTTCCAAAGAAGAAATCGAAGATCTTGAGAGACATTCTCATGGTATTCCTTTGAAATTCTGTCTGGTTGAGCATGGGCGTGTAAGCTTTTTCTCATTCAACAAAGTTGAGCTTCCTATCCTTTCATGATCCCTTCGAGCAACAACAACAGCAACAACAACCCAGTAAAATCCTACGAGTGGGGTAGTGTGTACGCAGACCTTACCCCTACACTGAGAGAGTAGAGAGGCTGTTTCCGATAGACCCTCGGCTTTCATGATCCCTTCGAGCATTGAATGCAAATCTTGGCATGCCCTGAGAAGAGCTAAGGTACAATTATGGATTTTAGGTTTGTGGATTGATGTTTCACCATTGTGTAATTGCAACACATTATTCAGACAAAAAGTATGTTTGACTGATGAAGGTGGACCTTGTCTCCTATGTTATACAAGTCTTATGATCTTATCTTCTCTTCCCTCAATGTTGTTAAAGCTGAAGGTTGATACTAAATGTTATTGCTTAATGCTTACCATACGTGTTACATTGGTGAAATTTACTCTAGTTATATAAATAGTATTAGCATTTGAAAAGATTCTAGTCTTTTTTCTTGTTAAATATATAAATTGGAATAGTATCTTCACTAATACAAATCGGGACAAATATTTTTTCTTAGAGATAATTGCACATAAGTACATACTACAGTCCGCATATATACATTGCAACTAGATGGGGGATTTGTATCTATACCCGCTTTTTGGGTTACGTTTTAACTTGTGTCCGCTTTGTAAAAAAAATTGCAAGCGTGCCCACTTTTTCGCGTAACTTCAGCATACGGGGCTGAAGTAGCAAAGGCAATCACGCAAAACTTCAGCATTCTAGTAGACGGGCCTGAATTAGCAAGTGTGCTGAAGTTTTTGTTTGTAATTGCTCAACTTAAGCATAGTAGCTGAAGTTTTGTTCTCTATTTGCTGAAGTTTTGTTTGTAATTGCTGAACTTAAGCATAGTAGCTGAAGTTTTGTTCTCTAGTTGCTGAAGTTTTTGTTTGTAATTGCTGAACTTAAGCATAGCAGCTGAAGTTTTGTTCTCCATTTGTTGAAGTTTTTGTTTATAATTGCACTAAATAAGCTGAAGTTTTTTTGTCTTGTATTCATTAGTTTTGTCATTAAGCTTTTTCAAAAACTTCAGCAGAAGATGCTGAAGTTATTTAGTTCATTTATAAAAACTACAGCACTAAATAAGCTGAAGTTTTTTTGTCCTGGATTCATTAGTTTTGTCATAAAGCTTGTTCAAAAACTTCAGCAGAAGATGCTGAAGTTATTTAGTTCATTTATAAAAACTTCAGCACTAAATAAGCTGAAGTTTTTTTGTCCTGGATAAGCTTTTTCAAAAACTTCAGCAGAAGATGCTGAAGTTATTTAATTCATTTGTAAAAACTTCAGCACTAAATAAGCTGAAGTTTTTTTGTCTTGGATTCATTAGTTTAAGCTTTTTCAAAAACTTCAGCAGAAGATGCTGAAGTTATTTGATTCATTTGTAAAAACTTCAGCACTATATAAGCTGAAGTTTTTTTTGTCTTGGATTCATTAATTTTGTCATAAAGCTTTTTACAAAAACTTCAGCAGAAGATGCTGAAGTTATTTAGTTCATTTGTAAAAACTTCAGCACTAAACAGCTGAAGTTTTGAAAAGCTTTTAACATACTAGATAATAATCACCTTATCTTTCATAGTGTATTACTATTATAAATAATCAGATTGCCAACAATAGCTAAATCATAAATTTTGGCAATATAAACGTGAAAAGAACAGAATTAC